TAGATGTTCTTTAATAGGCCGTTGGTGAAGACCCACACATGGCCGAGTAGTTTCTTAAAATGGCCGAGCGGTACTAGGCCATTTCAGAAATGGCCTCCGCCGTCCAGGGAATATATATATATATACGTGCAGAATCCCGACATCGTTGACATCAAGAGCCAGTGCGTTTAGCGCAATTCGGCTTGGACTGGCCTCTCACGACCGGCCAGCGTGCACCTGCATATATCATCCGACCTGCGTGTTACGCCAATACACCCACCGATACACCTTGTCCCACAATTTCGAGCCATGCTGGCTGGCTTTCAACTGGGAGGGGACAAGCCGGTTCATCCAAAGCCAAAGCCGGGCATGCTTAGCACTTGACAGGCGTGTGTGCAGTGCTGAGCGGGTGGTGTCCTTACGACTACTTGTCAGGCGTGTGTGTGTGTGTGTGCAGTGGGCGCGCTTGAGCGGGTGTGCTTACCGGTGTATGTGTGCAAGCGAGCGGGTGCGCTTGTCACTTAGCAGGCATGTGTGCAGCGCCGAGCTTTGCAAATTTGGTTGGAACAACACTTAGTTAGAATGTCATGGAGTTCTGTACAAAAATGAACTGACATCTAAACGCAAATGCGCATGCACATGAAGCACTTTTACATTTGATCTGGATGTCAGTTGTACGTAAGATTGAGTTCCTTTCCGGCAAGTAGATGATTTGTTGAATTTCCTCGTATAACAAAAGCAATAAAACCAAATAACCGGCACGATGAAGGACACGTTGTGCTTTTTCAGCTGGGGCTGCCGAAGTGCACTTCGCATACTCCAATATGACTTTAAGTGCACTTCGCACACGCCAATGCGACTTTCGAGCTGTTTAACTAGGAGTTCTTTGTAAAGTTGAGCTAAATTTTCTGCTTGGTTTGACTTTGCGCGTCCTGCCAACTCAGTTCAGAGTGTGGCCGAAAACCTGAGTTCTGGCAAGACACCTGAGTACTTCAATGGGGGGTAGCACACACACATATATATATATATATATATTCACATATGTATATGCATGAACCGGACTCACATCGAACACAGATGCACAAACACACGTCAAGTGCCTTATTCCCGGAAGCTAAACGTTGCACATGTTTTTCTATCATAAATATCCGGGATGCGATCCCAGTCTTTGCCGATCCGCAGGTTGCCAAAGATGCGAGCATATGCGGGCTGCCGCGCATGCAGGAGTCATGGTCGTCGCCGCGTAGAGCGGCGAGTCGTACCTTCCATTTGCTTAAGACTAGTGTTTATTTTCCCTTGTTGGCTTCAAGGGGAATCTATCACTCTTGGACATTTTTCCACAGGGCTTAAGCACATGGAAGCATAGCCTCCAAAACTGAGTACGCACCTCACGTTGGCTTGGACCTGTTTAGTCTCACTTCTTGAGTTCCGCTTCGGACTTTAGGCACTTTTACGGTGTGGACTCTTCTAGTGGGAAACAATAAGTGTGTGTGCCCACAGTCCTTGGCCAATCCACTAACAAGTGGTAACTAACAAGTTTGGTGACTTGTTGCCAGCCTTGATCGGAAGTGAAACAAGGCGGGCCAATTGAAGACGACTTTCACTTAAGCCACGGGGCAAGGGACTTCAGCGTCGAAGCCTTCCCGGGCTGATTGTGGACCGTCAAGCCCGAGTCTTAAGCCCGTTAAGCCACGGGTACCCGGGTAGAACCTGTCCCTGAAGGCTAGCTTCCCCATCGCTTGGTTGGACAAAGGGGAAACCAACAGGCCACACACCATTGAAACGCGCCAAGTTACGTATCTCTGAAGATCAGGCAGTCGGCGACATGCTGTGCCGTTGTCTACGTCTCGACGATGCTTATGTGTCAAGATCTTCAAGCTCAGCCCCATTTCGCGGGTTCGAAGTTGTTTGCGTGGAGCCGACAATCCTTGTCGTCGTGTTTCACTCATGTGTTTGTGGATCAGCTTCTGGTAGTTTTACCTGATGATCTTCAACCTCAAAGCCTTCATGCCATTTGGATTCCAAGCCAAAGAGGAGAGTTCAACGAAAATTCAGAGGATCAACCAATCAAATACTACTCTGAAAGGCTTATAGAAGCCCACAGCAGCTGACCCTTTGGGCTGATTTTTTTTAATAGCCAAGCTCACTCATTTGAATTCTTCCAGCTCAGATTCCGGTTATAGAATGCTGTTTTGGTGGTGCTGAAACTTGAAACCAAACGGAGACCTAAATAATATATATATATATACACATACGTATATCTCTTTGACAAACCCAGTTTGAAGCCAAGTTTGAAGCACACCCTTGGGGATTGCCTTGTCCCGGCACTGCACCCATTTCGATCCAAAAGCCTGACGGTGCTAAATGGCTGTGACTGTTACCCCCGCTTGCCTCCATGAGTTTCTGGTCTTTGGATTTGGACCATTCTTGTGGTAAACAAAACGTGTGGTTACTTTTTCAGAAGGGCCTCTCATCGGGGGTGGGCTTTTTGACACGCAGGGATTTAATAGTTTTGTTGGCGTATGTGTCCTTTGCACTTTTTCCCAAACATAAAAATAAAACCTCGAGAAAACAGAAAAAAACGTTTGGCCAATCCGCTCGTTCAGAAGTTTGGTGAGTTTATGAGGCGAAATCTCCGGGATATGCCCCGCAGGAGCCGGATCACTTCTGCAAGGCGCGGTGGGTTTGGTCCATCGCTAAGGACAACGTTCAAATGCTGTGCGTTTTTGTGGCTTTTCTTTATTTCCGCTGCTGAAATATAAGGGAATCTACTGTATCTCTGCTCGAAATAGCGTTTTTCCAGGGGACTTAAGCAAATAGAAGCGCCTTGGAATGGAGACACATGTTACGTTTTATTGGTGACAAGAAGTGAAGGCAACATTGGGCATTTATCGGTGCTTCGACCGCGGGATAATGTTTTCCATAGCATCCTTGGAATCAAGACACTAGTTTTACAAACGCTGCTGGTAAGAAGTGAAGCCGTCTGTTTGGGTAGTCAACCAAAATTGGTCTTGCTGCTGTTTGATGCACTCAGGTTAACAGTTGATCACCCCCGCCCCGCAATGGGTCGAGCAGCTTATCACCCGTCTTTTTGTACAACCCCAGGTGGAGCGATGTTTGGTGTCCAGGCGGATCAGGAGATTGGTTCCGTGATCATGTGAAGCAAAGTGGTAGGATCATTGCCAGAAGCACGTAATGAAATGTTGCAACGACCCTTTGTTATCTTTCCTCAGGACCCTACTAGTCAGCGGAACCCCCTACAATAGATCAATTCTATAAAGGAGGAATCGACCTTGGTCCAGTGGTGTGCAGTAAAAGCGGCTGCTTGGACCAAGAATCACGATGAACCACTATCAAGGTGACGGGCTGAGAAAGCGTGCCATGAGATGAGGAACTATGAGACATTTGCTCCACATGAACCCTGCAGATCTCAATGCCACCAAGCCTTTAGTCAGTCCTGCGGCACCCTTGAAAACATGAGGAACATTGAAACATAGCAACTATCCAATGATTCAGAGCTGAGCCATTTGGAATCTGAATTGTGTTTGGCCCCGAGCTTAGGCCAACTAGTCGCGATTGGGCTCTGAATCAGAGTATCTTTGTGTCTTTTTTTAGTGCCCTTTTTTGAGTTGGTTTTACGAAGCCAAAAGGACAACCAACATTTGCTGGGTCCCCCTATTTGGACACACACCCATATGAATCATATGAAATTAGGAAAGGAACATGAAGCCTGAACAACTGGCTTGGGCAACCATTCTCAAAGACTTGTTACATGACTTGTTTGCAGACACGGCATGAGTGGCACCCGGAAGAACCCTTCATGGTGTTTCTTGCTCTGCTTCGGGGTGTCTCACAATGTTGGATCCCTTTTTGGTATTTCTTTGCAGTCAACCAATCAGGGATGCCAAAAGGAAACAAACAAGACCCGTCCAAATGAAGCTCAACTAAATAGACACTACGATGCTGCGAAGGCTTTTGTTGCGGTTTCTGATTTGTGCACTACTCGTTTTGAGGCAATTACTTGGTTGCTCTTTCATTTTGGAGAATCGAAGACTGCAGTATTCTGGGTCCCTGTTGCATGCCGCAGCATGTTTGAGATCGGGACCCACACGACTTGCTTTGACCATCTCTGGATCCAACTTGGGAAGGAGGTGGCATAGAGGCTTGCTATGTGCTGCGGTTTTGGAAGGTTCAACCATGCTACCCCTTTGCTCGCTCAGAAAAATGTGCATCCATTCTATGATGCAAGATGTGACAGCCATGCCTTTCATGTCCCATGTTTGGTCCTCAGTTGTTTTGCCACAGCGAGTAATTACCAT